CTGATTATAGAGGAGGATGCTCTAAAAAAATATTTGTGACTCGAAATCAGACGCACAAAGAGGATATACAAGGAAATTTTGCCACGGTATAGACTCGATCAAATCCCTGAGTCCATTCGTTTCGTTTGTGTACCACAAAAGAACCCTCAAGAATCAATAAAACACTCTTCTCTCATTTCTTTACTTGAAGTGGTTAAAATGTATAACAAGTCATTTATTGAGTTCAGATTCTGCAAGCAGACAATTACCGAATCATTATACTGGTTTTGAATTAGTGTGTAGTGTAGTGCGCAAGTTGCATCCAAAATAGTACTATCCGACACACACAAAAAATCATTACAGCATAGATCTACTTTTGTTCATATATAACTGGTTGCTAGCTTAGGTGAGAAGGCTCTTAACAGTCTCATTGTTGGATGGATCTTGAAAAGAAAAAAGAAAAAAAGGAAAATTAGGCAAAACAATTCTGTAGACTTTGTATGCGTATAGAGACTACGGAACCAAAAAACATAAAATTTCCGTAAACAATTATATATGTCCACATACATTTTGAGCTCAAATTTCGACTGAAACTCTCTATCCATGATTTCTAAACTTTCAAATTGTCCAAATGATCAGAAAGCTGGAATAGCTCAGTTGGTTAGAGCGTGTGGCTATTAACCACAAGGTCGGACGTTCGACCCCTCCTTCCAGCGATTTTTTTTCCTTTTTTAATTGGACTTAAAAGATCCATTATTCCATACCAAGACTTTGAATTTGATTTTTGTTTAAAATTTAAAGCAGTAATGATAAATTACAGCTTAAAATGCCTTTGCTATAAATAAGAGTAACAATGAAGCCCCAAAGATTGAACCAGGTTGTTTCAGCTAAGAATGTTGGAGACCGGACCTGTGAACCAGTGGTGGGCGCTTAGAACCCAGTACGAGAGGATTATGGCCAACACACCAGCCACTGCCACTGGAGTGTAGTTTAGCGTCTCTGCGGTTATGGGATACGCCACAGGAAGTGAGAAGAGGACCGAGATGGTTGCAACCCACAAGACCGCCACCCACCCAACCACCATCCCGTACTTCCCCAGGCTGAATGGTCCAGCCACAAAGGTTTTACGCGATAACGTCACTCTCAGAAGGATCGGGATTGCGTATGCTATGTACAGTCCAATTGTTGCTATTGACACCATTGCTTGGAACGCCACTATGCTCCCCAGTGACTGCCAACCATTTTATCTCATCAATAAAACAACATAAAGAAAGAGATATTGAGGGAGACAAGGGCTTACGGTGAGGGCCATACAGAACGATATGGAAACAGAGAGCCAAACGGCATTGATGGGAACCTCTCTGCTGTTCACTTTGTGCCATAACGATGACAATGGCATCGCTCCATCTCTCGAAAACGCATACGCCATCCTGATTAACCCAAATACATGCAGGTGAATATGATCACACTCCTAAATGCAGAGGGATCAATGCTCCAACAAAATGCAGGTACACACCTGGAATTGCTGGTGACAGAGCTCATGCCACAGAAAAACACAGCAACCGCAACAATACCTAAGCACACGATTCCCCCAGTGCCACTCCCAAACCTGTTCTTGAAAGCTAAGTAGAAGATCTCAGCAATGGCGTATCCTCCAGAGTCGTTGGTCTCACTCAGAAGGTAAGGTATGTCTGTGACCGCATAGCTTATGCCCAATATATAACCCCATCCAAACAGAATTGAGATCCCAATTGCACTGATAATTCCTCTAGGCCCGTTCTTGTCAGCGTCAATGGTCTCCTCTGTCTATAATTTAACTTGTTGTTCCATCATGAAGATCAAGAAAGGCTAAATCAATCATGAAAAAGGAGAATCCAAACTCACCATATGGGCAGAGGCATCATACCCTGTAATGGTGTACTGGCTCATGAGGAGCCCCAAGACGAATATGTAAGCGTAGCTGGTAATGCCGAGGCCATTGTCAGTGTTGAAATTGGTGAAGACAAAATGAGTGGTGGCTCTTCCCGTAGAAACCAAAGGAATAAGAATCATGAGAACCACAACCCCTGAAACAAACCCCAAAGAGATTTACTTTGCCTTAGTGTGTTGAGACAACAATGAAAGTCGAGAGGGAAGAGAAGGGTACCGAGTAGATTCCAGAGAGCAGCAAGCTGTCCGATGAAAGACAAGACGGAGATGGGGAGGCTGTTGAGAAGAGCATGGATGAAGAGGATTCCACCATGGAGGCCAATCAAAACATAGTCGGATCCTTGATATCCGCCGCCGTTTTTACCGCCGGTGGAGAGAAGCACGATCACCTGAATCAGCTGTGCCAGTGAGAAATCAATGCTCGCCGTCACTGCCCACTGCAACAACGAAAGTCAAAATCTACCAAGATTTACATTAGCAAGAAATGTGAACAAGAACCAGACCTGACCAACGATGTTGAACCTGAAAGATTGTGAAAAGCAAGCATGAATCAGAGAGATCTATTCTAATTCCAATT